GGTTTAGGGTTTACGGGTTTAGGGAAGGACATTTAGCACTAGACTGGCAGTAGCTCCTAGCAAGTCATATCTTGACCCGCACCCTCACGAGCACCATCGCAGTTCTCAGCATCGTCCGCAAGACTAGTCCAAGCACATTCCTTCTAACATAGAGCTCTGAATAGACCCTCCCCTCCGACAAGGAAGATAACGAGAAAGCCTTAAAGGTAACCCTACCATGTAACCCTATAGTACCCCTTAAAGAGGAGCCCTACTATAGAACCCCAGAGTGGCCCTAAACCCTAAACCCTAAACCGTGGCCCTTAAAAAACACACACAAAAGCCTCAGAGCCATGACTTTTCCGGATGCTCTGCGACCTCGGTCAGCACGGCCGCAGCGGCCCTTGACGGGAGGAGGAGAGCCTCCCCCATGGGTAGTTCTCTAAAGTAGGGTCGCTCTTAAGGGGGTCCATAAAAGGGATCTATAAGGGTGTCTATAGGCGCAAGGAGGAGAGCCTCCCGAAGTTACCGAACTCGAAAGCTTCAGTTGTTTAGGGGTCTGGGGGTTTGGGGGTTTAAGGGTTTAGGACTCCAAGCACCCGACCACAGACGCAAACCCTAAGTTCCCAAACCCTAAACCCTATAAGCCCTATAAACCCTTAAAACTGAAAAAACCCAAACCCTAAACCCCTGAACCCCATCAAAAGGCCTAAAAAAGCAACTAAACCGAAACCCCTAAACCCTAGAAGCCCTATAAGCCCTTAAAACTGAAAAGCTCTAGACCTTAAGCCCCTACACCCCATCGAAAGGCCTTAAAAGAATCTAAACTCGAAACCCCGAACCCCTAAACCCTATAAGCCCTATAATTCCTATAAGCCCTTAAGACTGAGAAGCCCTAAACCCTAAACTCTTAAACACCCGAAACCCAAAGTCCTGAACCTTTACATCTAGGACATTTTCAGGTGGGTAGTTACCCTTATAGGAGCCTTATAGGAGCCTTATAGGAGGTCTATATACCTGATAAAAGCCTTATAGAAGCCCTATATACCCTAAACTCCCCACCTCTAGTTTCCTTTCTTACCTAAACCCTTATAAACCCTAAACCCTAAACACCCTAAACCCTAAACCCTAAGTTAGCCTTTTCCCTAAACCCTAAACTCCCCACCGCCACACCTTTGGCATCCCATGACCTGAACTTCGAAGATCCCCATGGGTAGTTCTCTAAATTTGGGTCCCTCTACAGGGGTCCTTAAGAGGGATCTATAAGGGTTTCTATAGGGGTACAATATAAGGGTACTATAGGGGCAGTTCTCCAAATCAGGGTCCCTTTTAGGGGCCCTGTTATAAGGGTTCCGCACTATTTGGGGACTTGAAAGGGACCTTAAATTAGAGGGGAGCCCTGGCCCTAAACCCTAAACCCTAATCCCTAAACTCTAAACCCCTAAACCCTTAACCCCTAAACCCTAATCCCTAATTGTTTTTTGCGGATCTCCAGCTGGGTTACAGGATTGCCTCCTCGCCGACTCACGGAGTGTGTCGAGCGCGAGGATGAGAAGCTTTGCGGGGGGCTCCTTGCCTTGAACGTGGAAGGTGGAGTGGGGGCTTAGGATGTAGCGTTTATAATAGGGTTTAGGGTTTATGATAGGGTTCATAGTAGGGGGCTCCTTCCCTTGAACGGAACGGAGGGTTTACGATAGGGTTCAGGGCTCATCATACGGTTTATAATAGGGTTTATAATAGGGTTTCGGGTTTAGGGGTTCTTTGCGGGGGGCTCCTTCCCTTGAACGTGGAGTTGGGGCTCAGGATTTAGGGTTTATAATGGGGTTTAGGCTTTATAGTAGGGTTATAGTAGGGAGCTGGGGCTTAGGATTTAGGGTTTATAATGGGGTTTGGGGTCATAGGATTTGGGATTTCTCTTGAACGTGGAAGTAGGAGTTGGGGCTTAGGATTTAGGGTTTATAATGGGATTTCGGGTTTATAATAGGGTTTATAGTAGGGCTTATAGCAGGGCTTATAATCGGGTTTATTATCGGGTTGAATGTGGAAGTGGGTAGGTCTCTAAATTGGGGTCCGTGTTGGGGGTTCCCAATATAGTACGGCACCATTATAAAAAGGCCCCCAAAAGGGACCCTAATTGAGAGAACTACCCAAGTGGAGTTGGGGCTTAGGATTTAGGGTTTATAATAGGGTTCAGGGCTTATAATAGGGTTTCTATAGGGTTTAGGGCTTGGGGTTGTAGGATTTGGGATTTAGTTTTACGGTTTGGGGATTAGGGTCCGGTGATCTCAAAGATTGCTTAATCGCCCCATAACTCCCGTATCAACACCCTCACAGAACCCTTTGTGCATACAACTCTTCGAATTCCTCTTCAACTCCTGTTAAACATGAGCCTTTCATACAACTTTCTTCAACGTTCTAAGACCCCATAAAACTGCACAGTTCGAAGCCCGTGCAGAACCAAAACGGGTCAAGCATCCAGAGCGCCCAATACCCCTTAATTAAGGAATAGTATACCTTAAACCATAATATTAGGCCCCTATAATTTAAGGTATATTCCTTATTTACGGGGTATTGGGCTCTCTGGGAAGCAACCCCGAATTAGATCTTAAACCTCCCAACCCTTTAACCCCTTCGCTTCAGAAACCTCATATAGCCCAAAACACCCTTTGAAAATCCCGCACCCTTCTGAGCATCCTCATCAAGCACGGCTCAAACCCCTACTAAACTCCTAAACCCTAAACCCCTAAATCCCTAAACCCTAAACCCTAAACTCCTAAACCCTAAACCCTAAACTCCAAAACCCTAAACCAAGCATCACGGGCAGATCAGAGGCCCTTCGACTTCCGGCCGCAGTCGGCGTCGACTCAGATCTCCGATTCCCTGCGCGGTTTGGGTGCACCTAACAAGGGTTTAGGGATTCGGGGTTTTGGGCTTTAGGGTCTATAGGGTTTAGGGTTTAGGGCTACCTTAGCTGAGTAGGCAACCTTTACCCTTTTTGGGGGCTTTTAGAATCCTGCCCATAATTGAAAGGTTAACCTTTTTTGGGCCAGGGTACTCTAAACCCTAAACCCCTAAACCCTATAAACCCTATAAGCCCTATAAACCCCATAAACCCCTAAACCCTAAACCCTAAGCTAGGGTACTCAGCCCCTAAGTTTGGGTGCAGCTAACGACTTGCTTTTCGAGGTTTCGGGCCTCGGTGGTTGAAAAGGCCATGGGGTCTCCAGAGCCTCTGTGAGCCCTGAACCCTAAGCCCCTAAACCCCTAAACCCCTAAACCCTAAATCCCTAAACCCCTAAACACCCAGAGCTTAAAACCTAAACCCCCAAACCCCCAAACCCCTCAACTATGGGTTTACAGGGATCTTGGGGTGGGGAATTCGGACATTGGTCCCTTGGTTCGGCTCGCTAGGAGCTCTTGTCCCCGTCAGAAGTTTGAAGTAGGGGTTTAGGTTCTTAGGGTTTTGTCGGGGTCTTAGGGTGGTTTAGGGTCTTAGGGGTTTTAGGGCTTTCGGGTTTAGGGTTTAGGGTTTTAGGGGTTTAGGGGTTTAGGGTTTTAGGGTTTTAGGGTGTAGGGCTTTAGGGCTTTAGATTTAGGGTTTAGGGCCAAAGGATTGGAAAATCACATGGGGTCCTCCCTCTTGGCTCAGCCTTTGGTGCCTTTGCTTTGAGTCCTCGTCGCCGCCAGCGCCTCCCGTATCTTGTCGCGATGGCCACGACGTCTCAGAGCGAGAGGGAGATGAAGATGGAGCCAACATCCCGCAGCAACGGAGCTTCGAATTTAGTACTACAGGTTTTATAAGGGCTACTCTAGGGTTACTTTGACTGAGGGTTACTATGCTCTACGGGTTCTATAAGGGGTACTCGGGTTACTCTGAGGGCACCTAGAAGTACACAAGATTTTGAATTTTGGGAGTTTTGTGGTTTAGCCTAGGCTTGAAGGTTATAAGGGTACTTGGAATTCAGGCCAGGGTTCTCGTAGTTGGGGGGGCGGGGGGTGGGGCGTTCAGAAGTTCGAGGTATTCTGAACCCGAAATCCTAAACCCTACCTGTAACTCTCTTCACCTACAGTTTAGCAGCCATTACCCCTTGATTAGTAGGTAGCACCCATAAAACTGTAGGTAGTTCGAGCCCCAGGCAAACCCTAAAGCCTTAACCGCTTAACGCCGTGGTCTCTTGGAACCTACTTGGAGGTTCATGGGTAGTTATAAGTGGAGCTATAAGTCCCCTAATATAGGTTATAACTACAGTTACCCTACCTATACCCTTACTTATAACTAACCATGAACCTCCAAGTAGACGACCTTAACCCCTCAGCTCTCCAACCCTGCAAGTCTAAACCTTGGGTACTGCCCCCCCACACAATAAGTAACTGTCAATAATGGGGCCTACTATTCGTGGCCTTACCTGGACTCCAAAAGCATGTAGAATACTAGCCTTTTGGGGTTCTTGGGCCTTTATTTTTACTTACTTTTGGGGGGTTTAGGTATATATTTCCATATTATGAAGATTCCTCAACTGTTATAAGAGTGGAACAGTATCCAATCTAAACCCTTTGTGCCACTCCGGTTGATGATATAAATCCTGCATTACGCATAATAAGGAATATACCATAATTCCCATAGTTTAGGGTCCTTAGGGTTATCATCAACACCCTAAACCCTAAACCGTAAACCCTTAAACCCTAAATCCTAAACCGTAAGGCGAAGCCCCGGTGGTGAAGAAGGCGACGCGCTCGGCGTCTTGGCTGGAGATCTTGGGCCTCAAGGGCAACTTCAGCCACTTGAACTTCAAGGACCCCTTCAACGTGAAGAAGCTCCCTGGGCTATGTCTTGAAGAGAGTTTAGGGTTTAGGGTTTAGGGTTCCTGGGCCATTTCCTGAAGAGATTTCTAGCCTATAGTGTTGTTATAGCACACCATTCTTGAAGAGGCTGGTTTATTTCATGGTACTAAGAGTGCAGTCGAAAGAAGGAATAAATTACGTAAGCAACAACTATATGCTGTGGTGAGTTCGTGGGCCTGCAAGATTAACCCAAACAGGCTTGGTTCCAGCTACACCACCGAAATCCGTGCCGGCTTGACCACTTTCCTGGCCATGGCATACATTCTCCCGGTGAACAGCGGCATGCTTAGCCTCGCGGTGCCCGACATGAAGGAGCCTTCAGCTCTTTTTAGGGTTTAGGACTTAGGGTTTAGGGAGTTTAGGCTTTAGGGTTTAGGGGTTTTGGCGTTTAGGGAGTTTAGGCTTTAGGGTTTAGGGTAAGCCCCTTTTTTTTGTTACTATTAGGAAGCCTAGAGGTAGAAAGCCAATATTAATTAGTCCTTAGGTTACATATTAGAATTTTTCCTACAAAGGAGCCCAAAGCCCTATTCTAATTATTAAAGGCCCCTACATTATGCCGTTCGCGGATCTTAGTACTACACGAAGGTTTAAGCTCGAGTTTCGTGCGGTACTGGGAAACCATAACCAAGTAGGGTTTACTGGGTCCTTGCTGGATGCAATTTTATATTTTTTACATTTTTGTTAGTGATAAAGCCCTAATAATTAAGGATTATTGAAACGACAATTAGTAATATGTCCCCGACAGGGAACCAGTTTAGGGTTTAGGGTTTATAGGGTTTCAGGAGCAGCTGGTCTGTGCTACCGCCCTGGCTTCCTTCTGCGGCTGCTGGCTGATGGGCATCCTCTC